CCAAACAAAGTCTTGAAGTATAAATAGGAGTTGGTTAGACACTGGGAGTGTCCAGTTAGTTCCTTAATGTGACAAACAAGATCTTTCATAGTCCATTAATCTATTTTTCCAGTCTCCCCTTGTATCTTCTACACCTTTTTTTTCCCCCTCCCAGCCCAATTTCTGAATGTTTTTCAAGTTAGGGACGAATGCCCCTGGATTATTTAGTGTTGTGCTTTGGATTTGAGAAAGTACCAAATAAATATGGTGCATCTTTCTGGAGCATCAGTTCTATCAAATGATAAGTAATTTAAAACATGGTTTTATATTAAAGCTTAATATATTTGTGGAGTTGAAGGCAAAATTTCCATTCATTTTTCAAGATAAAACAGGATACATACATTTCAAGCTAGTGGTAAGCCATTTTAGGCTTGCCCTTAGACACCACCATCTGTACCACCTCTTTCTTGTGGAAAAATTTGACACGTACTATTGGAATATGGCAGGAAATTTTATGGGCCTTTGCATATGCTATTGTGCTATTTGCTCATCCTGGAGTGCTCTTCCCATTTTTCTCCCTTGATAAACTCTACTTATCCTTCAAAGCCCAACTTAAGTGTCATTCCATATAACAGTCATTTTTAACGAAGCTTAAATGTCATCCCATATGACAGTTATTTTTTAAAAACCCACTTGTGTCCCTGCCTCCTTTCCTAATAGCTCCATAACTCAGTACCTCCTTCTTTTGTATTTCTACCACCCTATACTCAGAATTTCCATTATAGCACTGCTCACATTGTACCATATATATTTGCTTTCCTATCCATCTCTGCTACTGGACTATAAACCTCTGTAGGGCAGGCACTATTATTTATCTTTCTATTCTTAGTGACTGGCATTTGGTAGACACTCAATAAATGTCTATTGAATTTGTGGACCATTCCTTACTCTGCATCACCTCTGCTCTTATATAAAGTGATATCTCCTTTACTTCTCATCTTCAGGGAATGATGTGTTCCACAAAAGTATATTTTCCAGACAACTGAAATTTACTTCTTAAAGTATCAAAATCTGCTGTTTAAATCATGTTGGTAGGAATTTATTTTTCTGTATTTTCACACGTGTGCTAGCTCTCGTAAGTAAAATATACTAAGCATAATGTGTTCCTTGATGACCTATCCCCAAAAGTATCAGGGTATGTTTGGTTGGAATTCATGACATCCACTGGGACCACTGATGGGATAGGGCTTTTTGCCTTCACACCAAATAACCCCATTTTCTTGTAGTTTTTGAGTTATGGTGCTTGCTTCTTATAGTTCGATCACCGTTTCTCATTGTCAGTGTTCTTGCTCTAACAACACTACCCTTTGCTCTTTTTATATACGTTTCAATGGATATTAAAATTACAAAACTAATATATGTTCACTGAAAACAAACAGAAGTCTATGGAGTAAAAAGTCAAAGTCCTCCCTTCATTTCTGTCTAACCCCCAACCGTGTCACATCCACACTCACACTCCCTAGCCATAACCATTGTTAACAGTTTAATGTATCCCTACAGGCCTTTTTCTGTCAATGTATGTGTACATGTATACGGACAAATATCAAATCATATTATACATACTGTTATATGACTTGCTTTTCTCACTCGACAATATATAATAGGTATCCTTCTATGTCAGTACATCTTAGTCTATATCATTCTTTTTAATGGCTGCCCCCTTTTAATTTGACAGTCTTAATCAGCTGTGAATGGGAAAGCCAAATAATCAAGCTTATTAGAATTGTACCTAAGAAAGAATAAATCGGCTCTGAATGAAGGCTTGTGTAATTCTCCTAGGAGGGAAATGTGTTAACTTTAGTGCATGGACTTTGTAATGTTTATTTTGGCTATTCTGGGACCCTTTTTGCTTATTTCCTGCTTCATTGTGTTTTGGATAGCTGAGGTTGCTGGATGTATGACCTGTGAATTAGTGAGGTATTACATATTCAATTTTGCATTATATAATTTTGCTCTGGTTTTATGAGGGATTTGCATTTAATTTTTTCATTTAGATTGCTGTTATAGACAGTGATTAGTTCTTCGAGTTTCTAAGTACTTGCATCGTAGTGTGGACCACTGCGTGTGGTAGCAGCTAAAAATATTTGGCTTGATGATTGAACAGGCCTTCTTATCTGTATCATCTATCTGTGAGAATGTGCACTGGACCTATGGGAGCTCTCTAAGTTGATTTGAGGGAGCCTTTTACTACTGATGAACATTAAAGTACTGACATCATCTTGTGCTATAAATAATAAAATCTTATTTAGGATTTATATAGACTCTTCCTTCTGCTTTCATCTACCATACTAAAATGGCTAAATCTTGTTGATGCTACCTTTTAGATCTCACTGTAATGTGTCCCCTCCTCTCCACTCACTCTGCCCCAGTACCTTGGTTCAGGCTCTACTGTATCTCAACTGAATTACCTGAGACAGACTTTTTAATTGGCCTCACTGCCTCTTGTCTAACCTCCACCTTGCCCACCCAGCAACTAGTGCTTGTTTTAAAACAGAAATCCTACCATGCCACACCCCTAAAACCCTTTAGGGGTTTCTCATCATCTATAGGATAACGTCCACTTTCCTTAGCTTAGTATACAAAGCCTTTTGTGATTTGACCCACTTCTCCTGCCTATCTCTTGCTGCCCAATGTTTCATACTTCAATTTCTAGGGAAATCAGTGGCTTATAATTCCTTTAACACACCACACAAGAGAATTCTCAATAAATGCTTGTTAAATGAATGAATGAAATACCTTATGTAGCTAGGGTGACCATTCAACCTGCTTGGCCCAGGATGGCCCTTATTCACATTTGTCATCCCAGTGTAATTATTAAAAGTGTCCCTTTTTTAATCATCAAACTTATCTCAGTTAGATCAATAAATTCTAAGGTCATCCTTATTATAGTAATTATCAGATTGATTTCTAACTCTTTCTTTTTTTCCTCTACTAGATGGTGAGCTCTTTGAGGACAGGAGTTCATTTTTACATCCTCGTTTATTCATTCAACTAAGAGACTGATGCTGTTAGGTGCTTAGGGTATGATGTAGAATGCAACAAACAAACATGGTTCTTGACATCATGAAGTTTACAATCCAGCAGGAAATAATAATTTAGTGGAAAGAATAGAGCCTAACATAATAAATGTTGGTGTATGAGTGAACAATTAAACATGGATTAGAAGTTCCTCAACAGGCCAGGCGTGGTGGCTCACCCCTGTAATCCCAGCACTTTGGGAGGCCGAGGCAAGTGGATCACTTGAAGTCAGGAGTTTGAGACCAGCCTGGCCAACATGGTGAAACCCTATTTCTACTAAAAATTATTTGGGCGTGGAGGGGCATGCCTGTAATCCTAGCTATTCAGGAGGCTGAGGTAAGAGAATCGCTTGAACTCGGGAGGCAGAGGTTGCAGTAAGCCGAGATCACACCACTGCACTCCAGCCTGGGTGAGAGAGTGAGACTCCATCTCAAAAATAAATAAATAAATAAATAAATAAATAAACAAATAAATAAATAAAAATAAAGTTCCTCAACAAACAATCCTGATACCATGAATTACAGAAATAGTCGTAAGTGTAGAACTCTAAGTGATCAAATTAACAATTTATTTAGAGTCGCCAATTAAAATTTTAAAATACAAACAGCACACATATATGTAAACATGCTTAATATTTAGATGCTACCTTAATGTTAAACATGAGTAAAAAGGACAATGAAATAATAGCAAGAATGCGATTCTGAGTCTCATTCTTTTTAGACAATTTATAATCCTATGTGGTTCTCTGCAAAGTGGATTATCAGTGTGTACTCCATTCCTCCCCACCCTCCCTTTTTTTCCAGACGAGAAATCTGAGGTTTTAGACACTGAACCACGAAACAAAGGAATGACCTTTTTTTTTTTTTTGGCTCCCAGACATGATCTCAGCTCACTGCAGCCTCCACCTCCCAGGTTCAAGTGATTCTCCTGCCTTGGCCTCCTGAGTAGCTAGGATTACAGGCATGTGCCACCATGCCCGGCTACTTTTTGTATTTTTAGTAGAGATGGGGTTTCACCATGTTGGTCAGGCTGGTGTCGAACTCCTGACCTCTTGTTCCACCCCCCTCGGCCTCCCGAAGTGTTGGCATTACAGGCGTGAGCCACCGCGCCCGGCCAGGAATGACTTCTTAAACCAGGATTTGATTTTGGTTGAACTTTGCTTTCAGAACTAGAACTACCTGCTATCCAAGACTTGTTAACCACGTTCTCATGGGCAAATTACAAAACCCTTTCAACCTCAGTTTCCTCTCATAAACTAGTGGTAATATTATCTCCAGAATTAATCTTAGGAGTAAATGAGATTATGTAAAGGCATTTAGTCCCATAACCGGGCTCCTAGAAAGCACTCAGGAATGTTAGTTCTCTATCCGTTTCCCCTATTTATCTTTCTGTGTTTGATGAATTATAGGATGATATGAAGTGATTTGAAAAGAACTGTAATATAAACATCAATAAAACACCAATAAAAAGTTTATTCTCACATCTGGATGCTAAACTAGGCCTTCACCTCCTCCAAAAGGTACAGTTTTATTAATATTCATTTATTATTTTATTATTATAGTCAAAGACCCAGAGAAGCATTCCAGGAACAAAGCAGCAGGTAAGATTTTTCTGGAAAAAGGTAGAGATTTTGAGGGAGCCAGGATTTGGGGGTCATTTAAGCAGCAGTGGATGTCAGTCTTCAAGCTTTGCCCATTTACTCTTGGTCCCTTTTGGTTCAGGAAAGGAAGAAGAACAAGCACCAAACCATTCACTGAGACCTTTGCGGGTTGGGGAGGAGGGATGTAAACAAAAGTCAACGCTCTCTTTAGTTTACAATGGCTGGCGACCCCAAGACTTCCAAGCTCTTTGGTGAGGGCCAGTAGGTCTGTTCTCCAGGAGTGCCCTGGGTCTGGACTTCATTTCCCAGAGTCCCTTAGTGCCCTAATGTATTCAGTGCTCAGAGTGCCTGTATGTGTGTGAGTGTGAGAGAATGTGTGCGTGCGTGTGTGTGTGCGCGCGTGTGTGTCTCTCCGAGTCCCTGGGAGAGTGGAGGCTCATTCACTGATTAGAGCCAGCGCTGAGAGGCAGCACTGCTCCTTCTCTCACGCCAACCGAGTCTTTTGATCTGTACATGCAATCCCAGGCAGCTCGCGAACACAAACCCGGGGCCAGCCGCCTACTGCTGCTGCTGCCGCTGCCGCTGCCGCCGCCGCCGCCGCCGCTGCCTCCGCCGGCTCTGCGCACCCGGGACTTTTCATGCACCACACTCTCAGCCTGCTTCCCTCCGTGTCCTGAAAAGTGCGACCGTTCTCCCAAGGAATTTCCACGGCAAGTATGGAGAGCAGAAAGGGGTGTAGACGTGTGTGCGTACCCAAGAGGGGTGGGTGCGAGGGCAGCCGGCTTGTTCAGGAACCTGGCTAACTTTCCGGGTCCGTTTCCTAGGGATTCGGGCGGTTCCCCCCGGACGGAGGCAGGGGCTGGGACTGGGACTGGCGCGTCTTGGATCATCGCAACGGAGCCTCTCGGCATCGGCGCCCTGCGCGCTCCGTGCGCTGCCTCGCTCAAACTTTCCGTCTTGAGTTTTCCTTAATGTGTTTTATTTGGGGAGGGGGGGAGGTGCAAGGGGGAGGGACCAGACGCGGGAATTGGACAAGTAGGGAGGGTTAGGGCACTGCAAGGGAAGGGAGCAGGAGTTCTTTTCTCCGTCTTTCAATAAGCCCCATTCCCACTTTGTTCGGGTCGATCGCGAGAATGCCTTCTCGCCGGGCTCTCTGGTGCACCCCCCGGTGATTTCCGGGCTCCCCTGTGTACCCCGCGTTGATTTCCGGCGAGGCCAGGGCTGGGTGGTACTCAGTGGGGAGCCCGAGGCGGCGGGCGGATGGAGAAGGGGCGATCCGAATGAGAAACGACCCCTACAGCCTCCACCCCACACACAGCCGGCTCCGCGGGGTACCCGGGGAGTGACTGTTTAGCCCGGAACCCCGGGTGCTCGGCTGACTTTTTCCTAGCCCGGGCGGGTGTGAAGGGTGTGGAGGGAGGGAGGTGGGGTGGGATAGGGGGATCCTCTGCCGGCAGGAAGGAGGCAGGTGCTAGCATAGAGGCGGATCATTCTAAATGCCACCGGTAAACTCCCCACTCCGGTGGGTTGGACCGGCCTGGCAGTAGAGCAGCCCGACACGTGGGATCTCCCGGGATTTTCGGGGTCGGGACCCCCTCTCCCATCGGTTCTACTGAGCAAGGCGGGAGGACGATCGTGGAGACAAGGGCGCCTTACTCTGTTTGTAGTTTTATTTTTATCTTAGACCTGCCTTAAACTGAGTAACAATTTCTCTTCTGACTTGAGAACAAAACTTTTTAGTGAGCACGCCGGTCGCTGCTGTCCTGCGGCCACTGCCGCCGCGCTTGTCAGCCCGGGCCGAGCGACCTTCTCTGCCCGGAGCCCAGCCCCGCCACCGCGCTCCGGAGACTCCGGCCTCCCCCACCCCACCCCCGCCCCCCAACCCGGGGCTTTTCAGGGCTCGGCCTGGGCGTTTCGCCTTTGTGCTTTGTAAGAGAAAGCCTTTTCTTCCAGGGCACAACAAACTTGGGCGGAGAGCTTCCGTGTGGCCCCCCGGGCGAGGCCGCCCACGGTGGTGAGGCCATCCGAGGGGATGCCCGGTTCGTCCCCCGCTCCAGGAGCCTCTCCGAGAGCTCGCGGCCCAGGTCGACCCAAGCTGGCGAGGGCGCGCAGGAGTCCCGAAGTAGCGGGAACTAGGGCAGCCAGGAGGCAGGGGAAGAGCTCTCGCTTCCCGTTAACACTCTGCATTCTCGGGTCTTGGATGCAGCTCCAGCGGAGAGCCCATGTTCCGGCCCTGAGCCGGGTGCGCGTCGCACTGGGTGGGTGCATGGGGCCCGG